GGATTATTGGCTCCAGCAGCCACTTTCGCGACCCGCCCAACACTTTTCATGTCCGGGAAAGAGAGTTACTGATATCTTAAAAAGCTGCAAAGCACAGATTCAGACTTAGCTCATCCAAGGTAGTTAATTCTGCCGAGCCGCTGCCTTTGAAAAGCTTGCGATTCAATCGCACTGCGACTGAAGTTGAAGTAGGGTCATCCTTTTTAGCACATCACTAAACTTTCACTAGCTAGCAATTAAAAGCTTTTCTCTTGGGCGGACAAAAAGTTGATGATAAAGATACATTATAGCAAGACACGCGCCATACTTGTTCCGCTTAATCCACTTAATTCGCTTCGTCATTGGTCAAGTCAGTGAACTGGCCAATAGTGAAGTGAATGAAGAGGATTAAGCGAATCAAGTGCACATTCGCTATTGGTCAGTTCACTGAATTTACCAAAGACGAAGCGGATCAAGTGGATAGTGAATTAAGTTGTCTGAGTGTGGCACTGCTCCAAGATATCTATTTTCGAACTTCTTGAATATATCTTCTCCAGGAAGCTGCTGCTTATCTTCTAAATGGGCTTGATCAAAGTGTGGACCCATGCCAAGATTTCTATGCTTTTACTTGTAACAAGGTGAGCTCCATAGCTAGCTGGCTATAGCTTTGATTCCAAATTTGTTGCTGCAGTTCATCGCACAAGTGAACCTCAATGGAATGGGCAGACTAGGTACATACGACCAGGCTCAGGTGATTGTCAATAATCAGACAGCGTTGGGCCTAAAAGCTGTGGATATAAACGACGCAAAGAAGTGGTCAGCTACTGAAAGAATCACCAAAGCGGTTAGTTTTTAGGTTTGTTAAGGGTTTATGCGGCACCTACCGCCCTCTATTCAGGCTTTGGACGCATGCGTTATCAACAGTCAGCTAACAAGCTCTATCGATAAATCTAAACAAATTTATAACGACATCGTAGCTTGGTAACGTTGTTTGAAAAGGCTTTGAATAATCCTCAAAAGAGATAATGACATAAACCTAGGTTTGGAGGTGTTCCCTTCCTCGGCGGAAAAGTAACCCAGGATTCTGCCAGCATTTGGGGTACGGTAGGCCTTATAGAGCAAACTCATGCTCTCGGAACGCTGCTCTCGTCTTGGGTTTCCGTCGATTATAAAAATGTCTCTCAAAATGCGCTCTACATATCGCAGGTGAATCTTTTCCCC